CACCGAAAAACATAAATAAATAAATAAATAAATAAAAATATCGTAGAATTTATCACTAAATATATGTTGACTCGATCTCACTTTGGTTTATCATTGAGCATGTGCGATATTTCTGTCAACACAATCGACGACGACGACGTGTGAAGAAATAAGATTAAATATTTTATTTTCATAAATAAAAGAATCTCAATATAATTTTTAAAAATATAAAAATTAAAATATAACTAATTAGTAATTCATAAATAATCCTATTTAAACATTGAAAAAGGTTATGCTATCATCTTTTACTTTGGTCATTCCTACAAGAAATTAAAATTATTTTATAAAAACATTACGATGCATTACCATTGACTTGGATTATTAAGTATTTTGGATGAGTTGGGTAAGCCTGATTACTCTCTCTTTTGCCTAAATTTCTCACAGAAATGATAGTGTAGTACGTGTCCATAGTCTCTGAAGGGAAGGTTCATACCCTGTTTAGAGCAACCTACCCCTCGATCAACATACCTACACGACGACGTCATTAATATCCCACAAGAAGAAGAAGTTCATGCTAGTAAAAAAATAGCCAGAAAGGTAGAAGAATGATTGCTACGGATAATCATCCATTTCACAGTCTCAGCTCATGGCCTCGTTACTATTGCGGGTGGTGGTGGCACTAGTGTTAACAAACTCTGAAACTGGAGTTGAAGTGTTAGCATAGTTTGGTCGAACCCCGATGTGTAGGATCATCGGTATAGTTAGTTGTTTGATAGGATCCTTTATCAGGTTGGGCTGAGCTTGAGCTTCATCTCTTGAGTACGGTCTTCTCCCTTAGCGAGTGATCTACTTCTTCGTCATCGGGCTCCTGCACATAGGTCAAGGTCGGGAGGGAGATTTCCTGACTCGACCCCTTCGAAGGTTAAGTCATTATTGGGAAAAGCTTTTTAGGAGAAGAGAATCCCCTTACCTGATGCCGATCGGGGGGCTTTTATACCTGTCAACGAGGGTCGATCGTACGTGATTTGATGATGGTGGTCAGCTTCTCGCATGACCAGCTTGTACCTCTGTGTGAGCGTCGTTCCGAGCTTTCTAGAACGACTTTGTACCGCACGACATTATCTCGTGCGGCTTCGAACGACGCGAGAAGGGACGATCGTCCTCCCGAGTTCGAGTTGGCACATCCGATGCGATGCTTCATCCCAGCCTCGAAACTCCACGTCTGATGTGTTTGTTGACTATGGCCACGAGGATGATAGTAGAATATACCCTATCAACTAATAATAATGCTACCTTTTGGAAAAAGAGAGTCGATAGCATCCCAGTAGGCCTTTGGATCTCACAAAATCTTTTGGAAGAAAAGCTACCTGATTCTAACTCCCAAGATCTTACTAAAATAAGATTCTACAACTCCGAGAGAATGAATACTTTGTGTCAAAATAACTTCTCGACATGCACTAAACCCATTTTGGATCTCTTAGATGCAAAATTCACTTGAAAATATACTCTAAAATGTATACTCGAAATACTAGTGAAAAATCAGTCCAGACGGTAAAGAGGTAGTGAAGTAGTACAATGACATCTTATTCTAGTCAATAAAGGACTCATGTTGAGCGGTTCTTATCTTGGTCTTTTAGGATTGCTCCTGAAGTCTTCCATTCATTTCCAAAGAGATTTATCATCGTAAAAAGATGTTTGCTCCAATTTAAAAACAAGAATTTGCAAAAGCTTGACGCAATAAGTAATTGGAAGTTCTATAACCCTCGAGAAAGATGGGGAAAAAAAGGTTCCATGCGGCTGGCAATTGAACCATATCCTCAGATTGCATGTTCTCTTTTCGAAGGATTCCAACCACGTACTTTGTCCAGTGATCTTAAGGAGTTCCAAGGACCAGGCACCCAAAATTTAATCTCTTCTTTAGAGCTTGGTTAAGCAATCAAGGACCAAAGGGTAGTCCATCCATTGTTTTCTAGGTCCGATGGTGTTGTTGTTGTTGGTTTATGTAAAGTTTCATGTTCATGTCTTGGATTTAGTTAGATTTGTTTTAAGTTATACGATACATTTGTGCGTTCATCAGTCATCCTACTCGTAACTTTTTAAGTCCTTAAAGGATATGCAAAAGAGAAAATAAGTTAGTAGAAATGTCGGGATCCTAATAATACCAATTACATTTCATAAACTCAGAACGATCGTGTGACCAGTGGTCCAAAGAAGTCTGTCATAGTCAAAAGTCCCCTCTAGTACTCATATGATAATTTTATCGAATAAGATAACGGACCAACTTTAGAAACTACCATAAAGGCCCATCCAATCATATGTCACATCTAGGATGATATACTAGCTAACACTTTGCATCAGCTAAAAAACATCCAAAATAGCTACTTGAATAATTTATTTTTGGACAATCTTATCTCTACAACTACATATAACTTGTATGTATAAAACTAAAATAATCACAAAAGTCATCCAAAATGAAGTTGTGAAGCATACTATAAATCATCTACATGTTGTGCAAAGTATGAACGAAACTGAGAGATACAGATATATAAAAATATAATATCAAGCATATTATGTACAGACTTATCTGTGACATTCCCCCCAACTTCTTCTTTCGATGTTCTCGTTGAAGCCTTTGCGAATGATATATCTCTTATGTTATATCTTTAAACTTTTGCCCTAATTATAATGCACCTCTTGACTCCTAGTTGCTCTTCGTCATTGTTATTGAGTTGTTGATCTTTGATCCATCAATGTTGCTTCAACTCATTAGTGACTCTAACTCTTTTGGGGTTGGTTGAGTTATGCTGATCTTTGTTGATCTTTACAAATTCTTTAAGTGAAGGAAAAAACCTTTTCTGTTATGCACTAGTCTCTTAAATGTCTCACACCACTTAAATTTGATGGATGTTTGTTGGAGCCTTAACGACCATCGCCTTTCAGACTTTGAAGTTTTTGAGATCTTTCCTCTATAAAATTTATCAATCGATTACTCTTGTGCTTAGTCATCATCTCCAAATAAGTTCACATCACTTTCGCTTTCATTGATATTCTATTAAAAAATGAAGTGAAAAATCTACTCTCAATAGAACTGATCATCATTAATGAGGATTTGATAACTATTTTCTTCCATAAAATCTTTTTGAAGGATCTTTAAACAAGTACAGAGCTCCTTTGCTAGATAATTAAGAGAACTATGATATTTAGTTTTGTTTATTTTCTAATGAGTTGAGAAGGCTAAGGGTATTTAACCCACCAACCTCATCGAGAGTTGTACTTTATACGTTAGGTCGATTATCAATCTTCATCTGCTCTTTGCGCACACTTTTGAAGTACTTGAAATATTTACACTTATTGTGTCGAGTTAGTTATCGTGATTTCTTTTTATTATCATCAAACTTTTGGAATGCAAGAAGTTTTGCCTAAAATGACTAAAATTTCATCCCAATTAGAGTAAGTCTATGTTAGTTTTGGTCATGTCTAGGATTGTACCACCTTCTTCATTATTTTTACCGCATACTTCTTTGAGTATAAAGGGGTTTAGCACTACATATTGCTTGCTCCATTCATCGTTCAAGCACTATTGCACCTATTCGAGATCTATCATTTTTGGTTATTTTGATGAGAAGTCTATCAACACTGGTCTTACAAAGTTTCTTAGCTTCTGTCCTTCTTCCTTGTCTTAGTACTTTGAGTTTACTTATGTATTCTCTACTTTCTCGTCTTTTTTACAACCATATTCTCTTCCTTCATGATAGCAAGGGATTGATATCTCTATGAAAGTCTTACTTATGTGATTCCATGAAGCTTCCATACTTATGATCCTACTATCCATTATTTTACATCTATGTCACTATTTACGATTGATATATATATTTTCGTGACACTATGATACTCTTCCGAATCTATCTTTATTCTGATTGACACTTGATCCATAACACCACTGCACTACGACCCTATTAGCCCTATCACACCTATTCACTTCGGCCTTTTGTGCCATGACACTTGACCTCCTATCTTCGTTAATCAATTGCGTTCCCACCATACCACCACACCTAGCTTGTATTATTTTACCATGCCACTATGCATAGACGGGAACATATCAAGTCGGGGTACTTTGTTAACATGTCATACTAGTATTACTAAGTTAGATTTGTTGAGTTGGGCAACTAGAGTTTGAGTATTTCATCATCTTTTACACAGATGACATGTATCGACCAAACTATACTTCCCAATTAATTATTCTTAATGCTTTATCATAGTAAAAGTGACGTGATTAATCCATTGGCATGTTATGTGGCTGACTTGTCAGCATTCTATATTATCATTATTGCCCTCTACTCAACAAGGACCTCCTTACCTTACCGCATGTCCAAACTATTAGTCGACACATAATCGAGCTAAATAAGTGAAAGATGATAATTTTAATCGATCTAACAAATGGATGCAATAGCTCGAAATTATTAGTAAGGGTGAGTAACATATCCCTTTCTACTTATTCAATTATTAGTTGGGCTCATGCAGATTTATTCTTTTTAATAATATTTCTCATGATCTATATATTAAATAAAAGTTTATTTACAAACACAAGAGAGAAAGATGTGAGTTGATTTAAATCATAACATATCATATTCTCATCCATCATAATACTAATAAAATATAAATCATAATATATATATATATATAAAAGATAATACTAAGAAGGAAAAATGGGATGTTAGCAAAAATAATTAATTTATCTCTAATTAAAATTAAGGTATTACAGTCTCTTTCCTCGGTTTCTCGAAATGATGGTGCTGTCTGTACCTGTCCAATGTCTCCCGAAGGTGATGGTTCTCAACCTACGTGCATAGATAGGTTGATGCTCTGTTTAGAGCAACCTACACTTCAATCAATACACCTACACGACGTCATTAATGTCCCACAAGAAAAAGAAGTCAAAGACACTAAGTACACATCCAGAAAGGGAGAAGAAGGATTGCTACGTCTAACCATGCATTTCACATTCTCAGCTCATGGTCTGAATGTTGTCACTGCTGCTCTGCAGCTGCCACTAGTAATACTGCTACCAAGGAGTCCTTGGGAGCCTCATGCTCATAGAAGATGGACAAGATGAGTGGAGACCGAGCTGGTCCTTCCTTTCTCACTGTCCTGGCGTTCATGGGATTCTTGTGTGCGTCAGAATGTGCTCGGGCTCCAGCCATGTTCGTCTTTGGAGACTCGCTGATCGACAACGGCAACAACGACTACATACCGTCGATCGCGCGAGCAGACTATTATCCCTACGGAATCGACTTCGGGATGCCGACTGGCCGATTCTGCAATGGCCTAGTAGTCACAGATTATGCTGGTAATGAATCGACCACCACCCGTTTGTAATAATGTTGGCTGATAGGCGCTCGCTATGTTTGACTCCTTCCAATTTGCCGCAGCAATACGTTTGGGCTTGCCTTTTCCACCACCGTATCTAAGTCTAGCATCACAGACCACCATGATATTGAGAGGAGTGAACTATGCTTCGGCTGCCGCAGGCATTCTTGATGAGACCGGCCGGCATTACGTAATTCCCTACCCTTTTACTGGCTTCCGATATGTATCCGAATCTCTAGTGTCGAGCACTTTGCACTTTCATCTGTTAACAAGTCATTTTTACTCATTGAAATTTCATTTCTTGAATAGCCACTGTTCCAAAAAAAATTGTTAGTCGATTTTAAGATTCAGAAGGCAGGTAGAAGAACTTGGAGAAGTGTATCGACTTATTTTGCTGAATTTGTTTGTCTTGTTCTTTCTCTGAACTTTTTTGCTCCAAGATAATTTTGTTCGAGGTTTTCCCCTATGTTTTTAAAGCTAGTTTGCTGAAAACAAACAAAATGTACACTGATGAAGATGATCGAATGTTAAGGTTGCCACTACTTTTGATGGATCTCGGACGGCATCAGAGGTTGGAGACTAGTACAAGTTGTAAATCTCATTTTATATATAATAGAGATGAAGATGAACACCTTCTATTTTCTTAAGAAACAAACATGTTGGATATCATTATCTTCGTTTATCTTTTCTACACACTCTAAAGAAGGGGGAAAGGAAACCCCTCCATCGTAAGTTCACATCTTCAATTTTTAACTATGAATTTTCCTGAAAGGAAAAACTATCATCTTGTCTTTTTTTCCTAATAGAATATAATGATGTCTTGTTGTTTGTTGGACAGGGAAGTAGGATTACATTTAATAGGCAGATAGAACTATTTGCCCAGACAGTGAGGCTGCAATTGCCACTCCTAATTCCAGATCCAGTGGCACTAACTCAGTACCTAGCCAGCTCACTGTTTGTGATTAACATTGGCAGCAATGACTACATCAACAACTATCTTCTTCCCGATCTCTACACCTCAAGCAGGACTTACTCTGGAGAGGAATTCGCCAAACTGCTCATCCACAATTTAGCACAGCAATTAACGGTAATTTCAGAACAGTTCCTTTAGCTCACTGTCCAAATTATATGAAATTGCAACCTTTTATTATTCATCTTCTATGTACTTTCTTGGAAAGGTTAAGATCACTGGCACTGAAGAGCATAAACTATAGCTGGACAAACTAAAGATATCTTTGACGACATTTGATTAAGTACCTCAAGAAGAAAAGAAGAGTTTACATGGAACATTTAGATTTTGCTTAAAGTCCTATATGGATAGAACATGCTTTAGAGCAGAAAGCTTAGGAAGTCCAACAAAAAGAATTTAAGTCATCTAATGTAAAGACACACTGTTACCTCATTTTAGAGAACAAAAAAGGTTAATTTCCTTTGGTTGTGTGGGGCAATAGAACAGAAATGAGACTTTGCTGGCTACTTGAAGCAACTCCATACTATTTTGGGATTTGGATGTTGAGATCTCAAGCTGGGTCGTAACTCTTGCATCTCTTTTCCATTTTAACCATGTGGAAATTGTGATATCATAAGTTTTGAAATCATGGCAATTTATAGATTGTAGTTTATGGTCGTTTCTTTCTTTGAGCTTTGTCAAATTAAACATCGTGATCCACGAGCAGCAATTTATACATTATAGTTTGTGATCCATTCTCTCACTGAGCCTTGTCAACTTAAACATGATGATCTACAGCCAACCAGGTTTTGGAGAGCAACTCATGAAAATTTATGGACCATGAAAACTATATATCAGTAAGCTACTCCTGTCCAATTCTCCACTTCAGCAAAAGGTTTTGTGCTTAATGGCAGCCAACATTGTGCAATAAAAATAGATGTGGCAACATTCTTATGAGGAGTGTGTAATTAGGATTTTGCTAAAACTGTTCCTCTCCTTCCAGAGCATGTACAACATAGGAGCCAGGAAGATGCTGCTGGTCGGTATCGGACCGCTCGGTTGCATACCAAGTCAGCTAGCCATGAACAACATCACAATCAGATGCGTCGAACGAGCCAATGAATTGGTCAAACAATTCAATCAGTATCTCATACCTGCGATGATCAAGCTGAACTCCACCTTGCCAGGCTCTTTCTTTGTGTACCACAACATCTATGACACCTTCTCCGACATGATCCAAAATCCTTCTAAATATGGTTGGTCGTAATAGATGTGAAATAGAAGTCAGCTGTGGCTTAATTTGCCTCGGATCTGATGTTTGGAATTGTTCTCAGGGTTCTCAATCAGTAACCAAGCTTGCTGTGGGAATGGAAGGCATGGAGGGCAACTGAGCTGCCTGCCCTTGCAAAAGCCATGCACCACTAGAGACCAATACATTTTCTGGGATTCTTTCCACCCAACACAAGCAGCAAATGCCATCATCGCTGACAAGTGCTACAGTGGAACAGCCAGGGACTGCTTTCCTATCAGCGGCTATCAGTTGGCAGAGATGTAGGAAGATTCTCATAGAGATAAGGCAGTAAGTTTGAGAAACTTCTTTTGCTTGGAACTGGTATGAGTGCGATCAAGTAGGAAGATTCTTCTTCTACAAATTAGATAGCTGGTTTGTTGAGTTTCCTCTTAACTTGGCACAGTTTTAGTTAATTAGCTGTTTATTAGTAGAAGGGTATCTGCTGTCTTACTCTGTTGCAAACTGAATGGAAAACTGAGTTCATTAGAAACTTCTGATCTTATACATATATATACACTAGTTTGACCAACCCAAACAACTAATTAAATGCTAGACAAGCGACTAAGCCATGCAGTTCAATGAAAAGACAAAATTATCAAGCTTTTACCAATTGTTTCATCTTGCTTGAATGTCATCTGAGTAGCACTTTTAGGAAAATCATCTGCAATGTTTCTCTTTCTTTTCATTTTCCTTTCTTTGTTGGACTAAACATGTGGATGTCATTCCATCTCCAATAATAGAATTAAACATGTAGAGAGAGGAAACTTTGTTTTGTATTAAGCATGCTCTTGCTTTCTCTGCTTCAGATGTAAGAATTAATTCAGTTTAGAATGTAGCAGAGCCTTGAAACACTGCTGTACAACAAGCAACAATAAACATATGCTATGGGTTACTAAGAATCAACTTTCTACTCTAAAGTGTCTGATCATTGTAAATATGTAGCTGTTAACACCAACTAGCTCAGAGAGATCCGGGATAACTTCAAAGGCTCATCTGCATATGACATTGGCACCCTGAAGCAATGCGAGGACTTTCAATGCAAACCTGAACTAGGATAGCTTGATGGTTTCATAGGTGGAAACTAGATCAAGATTTATCACCAAATTCTCGGTTGTTGAAATGATTGCTGCACAAAGTAGCCATTTGCATGACATTTTGTAGCTCTTCATCACATGAAACAGGCATCTGCAGGAGAAAAGAAAACAACAAAAAACTAAGTATTACAATGATCTAAAATTGGCCCCTATCATAGAAAAGTGAAAAACAAGAAGTGCTATTCAGCATTCAGCTTAAAACATCCAAATTATAGCTACAGTCTCTCATGTATATCGGATTATTTGTAGGTCCAACTTTAGGAAACGGATACCTAAAAGATTGTTATCTTAATGATCACCCTTGTAGTTAATCTCATGAGTAGGTTGGTTGTTTACAATGCTAATCACCCTTGTCTTGAAGGTCAGGGAGATGCCCTAATAGACACTTCTATGCACATATCGAAAGTACAGTTTACTGATATCTGACAATAAATGGAGTTCCAAAATATTCAGCAATGCAAAATGTTTTCCTAGTTATATAATTTTCTGATATTTCATCAGGTTCTGATTGTATACAATTTCTTGAATCCATATTTGTTGTTCAAGATTATTTAGACTGTGAGATGAGCATCTAACTTGATGAACAGCAGCAATGACTTCATAGATCATCAAACAAATAGAACATCAGGAAGATAAACACATATTATCACTTTCATGTCTCATGGTTGTCGAAATGAATGGACTCCAAAGTTAGTCCCTAAATTTCCAATATAATAATATTGATGAAGGAAACAAAAGGCAGAGTTTTGTGTATACTAAGTTGTGGAACCTGAGTCGTACGCCCTTTGTATAAGCTCAGTTGAGAATCTATCGTTCTTCTGAAAGAATTTGCAGTGTTTAAGTCGCCAAATATCCCGGTTTGCATGAGTCCTTGTTGTGATAGATGTAATTGAGGATCGACCACATGAGGTGAGAAACCAACGGCAGACGAAGAACCACCATGGGACCGAAGAAGCTGTTACAGAAAACACGAGCATCACTTCATCTGTTGAAGAAATGTAAGTTGCCAAACTAGTACTCAGTCAAACTCTAGCTTTGGATTAGCTTTCTCTGTTGCATACATCTTTAGAAAGAAGTGCTTCTATGTTCATGTCTAGCCTTGGATTGACAGTTGCAAGCTTCATTGAGAGAAACTGTTGCATGAAATAATACAAACAGATAAGAACTCATTATATTGTTTTAGACATGCATAACTATGATGATTACAGAAGCATACCTCAACCTGCTGCTGTAGTGATTGAACATAGTTAATGATCTCATCGAGCATGAGGGCTTTTCCTGTTACCTAAAGGCAAGAGTTTGAAACAGTAAGAGAACTCCGACAGAACTCAAAGAGTTTGCAACTGCAGAGCAAATCAAGCCACCTACTTTGCTGCAACCAGGAACAAGTTCTTGAAGAAGCTTCATCCTCTGGCTAATCTTCTCCCTTCTTACCTGGAAAAGCATATCAATTTATGTCTGTGGATCTTGATGGAAAGAAAGGCATCGGACTTCTCAATGGTGTCGAAAGCCTTACTCGTTCTGCAAGACTGTGGCTATTTGTAGCCTGGCCATGCCGTGCCCTCAAATGAATGTAATCTTCAGAGAAATCTTTGCTTTGCTTCCCATGAGGCTTAACAGTTGAGCTTTTCTGCCTGTTCTTGGTTTCAGTAGAGATTTGTGGGACTCCATGTGTTTGATCCATTGACGCATCCTGCAGTGTTTAAATGCTAACCAAGGAGAAGGAAACAAGAAACAAGATCAAACTTGATGGAACTTGGATAACATCTACCTCAATGGATCTCCTTTTATTAGCACCAAGATTCTTGGAAGAAGAATTCTCTGCTCCACTGGTCGAACTAGCTCCATGTTCATGGCCACCTCCACTGAACTCAGCTTGGCCACGCTCGACATCAAGCCATCTTCCTTTCTTCCGTTCGGTCATCGAGGCATCTACCAAAGACTATCTCATATTAATCCCAATCTTTTGAATCCGGCCATCAGAAACAAGTCTCGGGGAATGAGATGTACCGAAAGGATCTGCTGCCATGCCGCCTGAGCTTGTGGCACCGAAGCACGAAAACCTCGCAGCAGCGCGCTCGATGAAAGCCGAATCAGCTGGGAAATGAGAGAGACTCGGGGGAAGAGTTCCAGGGCCAGTTTGCAGGAAACTTCCTCCTCCGGATGATGATGTGCCCGAAGGATTCCAGCACGGATCAAGCCACGAAGTCCCAAGAACTGACTTGCTAATGGCAGGGATATCACTGGATGAGTTCCTCATTGTAGTGACACCAGGTTGTGGTTCTCCTCTCGACGCTAGCTGGATCAATGAAGCCAAGAACACCAAAAAGTCATGACCAGTAGAATGAACAATGAACAATGGAGACAGGAACCTGTAGACACCAATGGCTTCACACATGCTGCTGTCAGCGGAGTGGAGATGAACAACGAAGACAGGTTTTCGTCCCGAAACTGAAGGAATCGATCGGGGACAAGCACTCACTGACCTCATATGAAAAATGAACCACGGTTGCATTGGATGGAGAAGGCACTGTAGCAGAGCCAAATCATTCATAGCCAGCACACTGACCACAACAAATCTGCTCGATTCCGAGTAAAGCAAGGCCAACTCAAACAGCTGAAACTGGCAAGCAAAGCAGCAGTTGCTCACCCCCAGATTTTGCTTCCTTGTTCACCCTGCTCTCCACCAAAAACCTTCCCGCACTGCAACAGATCGGAGAACTTATTCTTACGGTTAACAAATGGTCAAGAACAAGTCTTTGTAGGCTGATGCTGCCATGTTCCAGACTGTCACAAAAGCAAAGAGACAAGTAGTAGGGGGGGAATCAATGAACAGTAGGAGATAAATTGAGTGGTTAACCACCTCCATTGCTGCTTTTGTCTCACAAAAAGAGAAAGAATTAAATAAGATCAACCCTTAGGCTCCATCTCATCTTCCCTTCAACACTCCAGTAAAAATTTCTTTCAACTCTTGTCAACTTTGTTTCCTTACTTAACATGCTACTGCCTCTCAGTCAGCAACCTGACATTGCCAACCATCCCAGTGTTATCATATTAAGATCTTCTCAATGATTTGGATCACAATTATTCCAAGCACATCTGTAAAATGCACGCACATAGATGAACCATTATTTTTCCCTCAGTACACGGTAAGAATGACAACACTACATTCCAACATCCGTCCTTTTGGAATGGAGTGTAACTACAGAATCTTTAGATGACAGCCTGAACAGCTAACAAGGAGCTCTACAACTGTCATTTGACTGTTCCTACTGCAGCAAAGTTTCTTGAGCTTGGTTGGTTGCCTTCTACTCAAAATCTCTTT